GCCCCTGGAGGCACCTCGGGCTCCACGCGCCGCTGTGCCGCGGGGCCCCCGAACTCCGTGCAGCTGGCCTCGCGCAGCGCCGGGGAGCTCGTGGAGAGCCTCAAACTCGTGGGCCTCTGCCTGGGCTCCCAGCTGCACGGTAGCGCCAAGTACATCATCGACCCCCAGCGGGGGCTGGCGCTGTCCAGCGTGAAGGTGCAGGAGAAGTCCTCCTGGAAGATGTGCATCGGCTCCGCGGGGGGCCCGGGCCAGGCCCCCGCCGTGGGCGGCATCAAGTTCTTCTCTGAGCACGTGGCCGGGGCCAGCGCCGAACTGGAACGGATAAAGAACAAGAACCTGAAAAACAACGTGCTCCAGCTACCTCTGTGCGAAAAGACCATCTCTGTGAACATCCAGCGGAACCCCAAGGAGGGGCTGCTGTGTGCCTCCAGCCCGGCCAGCTGCTGCCACGTCATCTGACGGCCTGCGGCCCCGCCCTGCCGCCCGCGCTCCCGGCGCCGCGACAACGCATGGTCTTTGTGCATGCTGCTAGACCCCACTTTTCTTTCCAGCCGAAAAGTCTACTGTGTATTTTTACATTCATGATTTTAATGTGGATGATCATGATGAAATTAAAATGTATATGTGGAACCTAATATAAACAGAGCACTTAGCTATTTGATGTTCTGCACTTAACCTAGAGAGAGAGAAATGCATTCGTTCCTTGTGCAAAAATCTAAATTCCTGTCCCGACCTTCTGTGATCCAGAAACTCCGTGCTCTGAGGCATCGTGCGGTGCCCGAGACAGAACCAAAGCAATAACATGCGCCGGCCCCGGCCCAGTGGCGAGGCGGCCCTGCCCCCAGCGGCCTGGGGAGCCAAGGACAGCGAGCGTCCGCACTGAGCGCCCCGAACTGCGACCCGAGATGCCCGCACCTGTTTGTCTTAAGCTAGAGTGTGGCAGAAGCTTGGGCTCAAATGTAACTGAACAAGTCTGCTGTTTTCCAGTAGGTGAGACAAAGTACTTAGGTTTCTAAGGCAGCTTCCCCCCGTCGTGGCCGGTCACACGCAGACGATCCTGTAACGTGACGAAGTAAATTCATGTCTGGACTCTCCTGACAGAGGGTCTGTCTGCCTGTCCCGTCCAGCAGAGCACAGGCTGCCCCGTGGGCGGCTTCTGTGGGACTGTGTGGGGCCCCCCGCAGGCGTCCTCAACACCCAGTGGACGGAGGCGGCGACAGGGCTCGCGTGCAGGCAGAGGCGTGCGCGGAGGCCGGCCATGTCAGAAACCTGTGAATTCAAACCAAACTTCGCGGGATTTGTTTCTTAGGAGTTTGTTAATTAGCTCGTCTCCTGTTATTTCCATTCCATTCCACCCTTTGGCTTAGCTAGCTATGAAAATTGGCTGATCAAAGAATACACAAAAAAGGGTAAAATTCACACGGTAAACAGAAATGCACAGAGCCTGCTTTGTAGCTTTCCCCCCATTTTTTGTTTTGCCTTCCTGCAAAAAACAATCAGAGGACTCCTGCTTTACTCTGCTCCAACGCAGAGACACTTGACCAGATAATCATCTCTCATGGCATTGGATCCCGTAGGATGCGATAGATCGCAGATTGTGGATTTTGCAAGGAGCCAGGTGCTGTTCTCTCGTGCTGGCCCGGGGTCTTACGAGCAGTGTTCAGCAACCTCCGGGGTGGGCCGTGGCCGGGCCCCGGGCCTGCCCGCGCTCTCCGGCTCCGTCCTGGCTCTGAGCGAGTTCAGAGCACCAAAGACCTGCACGGCGCTGGCGCTGGCGCTGGCGCTGGCCACGGCTCTCCCAGTCCACACCAACTCCGCCACTCTAGGGTTAATACCTTGTACTCAAACTCTGACTCACAGTATACCTACTATACTAAGTACAAATGATACTTAAAATACTCACTTTACTTTATAGACCTAGGCTAGCTAGATACATTTTAAGCTACAGCTCTAGTTCATTGTGATATTTATGCTGAAAGCGATGAGAATAGATGTGTGGGTGAAGCCATAGAACACATTTGCTTGAAATTCTTGAGCAGGGATCTTCTAAAGGGCCAGAAACAAGATGTGTGGTTCACGCGGAGTGAGCGTAACCTCTGTGTTAAACGTAGGAGGGAAGTTCCTAAAGGGCATTGGCAATAAACTCTTTGTTGCAGCTGTTTTCCAAGTCTTGTAAATACTTTTCCCTGTGATTGTGTACAGCCTTGGAATGGCACCTTTTAACTAACCCACATGTGTTTGGTTTTCAATGGTTTTTATATTCCGATGTATATATGGTGCTCACTTTAGGATCAGCAGTGTTGACCGTTTATGCTGCAGAGCTGTATTATAGCCTTCTTAGCCGTGTGTGGTTGGTTGGCCCCCGGGTCCACACGTCTGTCTGAGTGGTGTCTAACCCGTCCGTAGTGAGTGAGTGTGCACGTGTCGTCCGTCACTGTATGTCGTCCGTAAGGGAGGGAGCAGAACACCATTACACGCGGATACTCTTGGACCAAACTCCTTAAACTGCTCTGTGGTCACTTGTACCCTACCCTCTGTCTTCAGAAGTTGCATAGAGATACACTAGTGCATAAATTAAACATTGTGGAGAACAGTCTTGTATTTTTCTGTATGTGTGTATATATATAATTATGTACTTCTGGCAATTCTATATGTATTTAAAGATGTGACAATCTTAACACCGATTCTAAGAATAGCTGTGAGACTGGACTGAACTAAAGATGTCCCTAAAGAATTGCGTGTGTTCCCAGGGCGCACAGTTATCAGCTGATTCGGTCAGTGGCTTCCAGTTCTGGTGGATTTTCCTCATTGTGTAAACATTGACAGGTCTGTGACAAATGGGAAAATAATCCAAATAATAAAGTGACACGTTGGTGTTCAGCAATATAAACCGCGTCCCCTGGTGTGTGTGTGTGTGTGCGCCCGGCCTGGCCGCCGGCTTCCCGCGTGCCCTGCGCCTGCGGTGGAGAAGTCACGGCCGCTCCGGCCCGAGCTGGTGGCGCCGAGGCCAGGGGTCGCGGCTGCGCTCACAGATCCGGTTTCTCCATCCCCGGTCGCTGCCCATCCTGTCGCTGTCATGTCATCCCCGCTGGCCTGTTCCTCCAGCAGATGCCGCGCGTGACTTCACAGGGCAGAGCGCTCCCTCCGGCTTCGCCCCGCAGTTGCTCTGCGCTCCTGCCCTTGCGGCCGGCCGGCCACTGCCTGCGCCACACTGCTGTGTGCAGTCGGCGGTCGCTGCCGCGTGCCCGGTCCGGGGGCCCAGGTTCACGCGCGGCGTTACTCCGGATAACACGCTTCCTGTGGGATTTGCCGGTTTAAACTGTGAACAGCTCAGTGAGTTTTAGAACATGGGTTACATGTGACCTTACCATAGTCCGTGTCAGCCGCTCCACAGGTCCTTGTGCCAACCCCTCCTCCGCTGCCTCAGCCCCGCTGCGCCTCAGGCTGTCACTGCCGCGGCCCCTGGGCAGAGCCTGTGGAAGTCCACCGCGACCTCTGTGGAAACTTCCAGCCCCCGCCCTCCTGCTGCCCCTCCGCCCCCTGGCTCCTCATTCCCCACCTGGGAACGTGGGCGATCCCGGGTTCTCTTCTGGTCCCCTCTCCGCCTGCACATTGCACATATGTGTGGCGGAACCCCCCAAACCCACCCCCCCTCCCCGGAAACAGCCGTTTCCCGTGTTGGACTTCCGTCCTCGGGCATCCACTAAGCAATGTCCGCTGAGCTGCATGCGCCTGCCTCCCCCTGCGATCCCACCCCACCCCAGGAATGGAGACACCAGACCGAAGGTCTCCTGCCAGCCGCGGCTCTGGCGTCACCCTGTACTGTCCTGTCCTGACGTCCAGGCCCCTTCTCACTCCTCCTTGGCCACCGCTCTTGGCCGTGATGCTGTCGTCCCTGGACAGCTGTGCACGGTCCCTAAGAGCAGGGATCCTCAGCCCTGGGCCCCTGCTCGAGCTCACCTCCTGTCAGGCCAGCTCCCTGGGACAGTCCAGTCCCCTCCACCCCGTCCTCGAAATTTTCTTCCCAGAAACCAATCCCTGATGGCTGAGAATGGACCACTGTCACAGGGTCTCTCTGCTGTCACCCGTGGCTTTCCATTCTCCACTCTGCAGTGTACACGGTCATTTAAAAGGATAAACTGCAAACATACTAACAAAAAATAAAAACTGGAAAAAAGTAAAAAAAAAAAAAAAAACATGCTCTGAAAGTGTTTAATTTACAAATGCTTGAAGTCTGTTACTAGTTTCTAGTCGACATTATGTCTTAGAATGTGCTTTCTATGATTCTTTTTTATTTTGGCAGGGGTTTGCTGTGTAGTTCAGGCTGGCCTTGAACTATGTAGCCTAGGCTGGCTTCGAACTTGTGGCGATCCCCCTTCCTCAGCCTCCAGAGTGCTGGGATTGCAGGTGTGCGTCACTGCCCCTGGTCAATTCAAGTCTTAAGTTTAAAGGCTTGTTTCACGGCATTGTAGCCTGTGCTGTGAATGTCTGAGGGCACTAGGAAGACCCTGCTGGGTGTTAGCATAAGCGGGTTGGGGGTGTCCGTGTTCCGTGTCTACTTTACCTCAGCAACTATACAGGGGCAATAAAATTGTAAAACTTGACTACATGAAAAGACATTAGCAATAATCTCTCTCAAGACGCTCCCCTGCACACCCTCCGCAGCAGCTCTTCCTTCCTATCTTAATCAGGTGCGACCAAAAATATGGTGAATGCCATTGTCGTGCGCCATCCAGTAGAAAAGCAAGTCATAAAAACATGACGCTGGGGCCTCCCCTACCTTATTCACTGGATCTGGCACTGTGCAACTTCTGACTCTCCTCCAAAGTGGGAGTGACCATGAAAAGTCAACATTTTGAATTGATTCAGGGCATTGAGGCAGCCAAGACAGTGCAACTGAAGACCCTCAGGGGAGAGGAGTCCCGAGCTGCTGCCGGAAGTGGCGAGGATGATGGGATGAGTGTGTTGGAAGCCAGGGGAGGACTCTGGAAGGGATTCATGGCCATGTGGCTTCTACTATAATAGATTTTAAAAATGTAAACACTGTTTTCCAATCACACCCTGTGTGTGGCTCTATCTCTTCATTTCTACCAGTTTTACTTCATGGACCCGGGCCCTCTGGCTGGGCGCATACACTTTTGCGGGCCATTAGTGTGCAGTGCTCCCTCTCTGGGAAATGATTTTCTGTTCTGAGACCTAATTTGTGTGACCCTAACAGAGCTCTACCTTCCTCTTGGCCATGAGAATCTTTTCCACCCTTTATTGTTAATCTCTCTGTGACGTTAAATTCCAGTCTTTTGAGACAGCATGGAGTTAGTTAGGTTAGTTAGTTGGGGTTTGCTTATTTGGCCAGTTTGCTTTCTCTGGGCTGTTCAGACGTTTCACTGTGTGTAATCACTGCACGGTTTGATTTAAACCCACCTCTCTTGTTTTCCATTTGTCTCATCTGGTCTTGGTTTCTCTCCCCTATTTTCCTACCTTCTTTTGGTTTAACTGATCTCTCCCCCGAACCCCGGGATTGAATCCAGGCCCTTTTTTTACTTTTTGAAACAGGGTCTCGCGAAGTTGCGAATTTGCCCAGGGTGGGCTCAAACTTGGGATCCTTCTGCTTCAGCCTCCCAGGGTGCTGGGAATGTAGGTGTGCACCACCACACCTACTGACCACTTTTTCTTCCATTTATTCTCTGCTATTGGACTCTTGGTGTGCCTTTTTCGGTAGCTGCTGTAGGGTTTACACTCCGTACATCACAGCCTGCCTTAGAACACTAACTTCCGGTAGTGTGTGGAGTCCACAGCTACATGCTTCCATTCCCTTCTGCTCCTTCTGTGATCGCTCTTGTATTTTATATATAGAGAGAGTTGTAAGCATAGTGTTGAGGATATTAAACATGAGGGGAAAGTACTTTACCTACACATTTGTAATTTCCAGCACCCTTCATTTTTGGTGCAAACCCAAACTTGGGTGTTTCCTTCCAGCTCTGGAACACCCTATCCCATCCCCCAGCGCAGGTCTGCGGTGGTGTACCTGCTGGTTTCGCTTGTTGGAAAAAACATTTTTATTCACTTGTGAAAGATAGTTTCACTGGGTATAAAATTCTAGGTTGACTTTTCTTATTCCAGTGCTGAACACGGAACTGTAGATTGTCAAATGGTGGCTCTTACTGTACTCATGAAAAAAGTGCTGGATTTCAACAGAGTCCTTGTGGCCCGTGCCCAGTGTCTGAAAGTCACTGCTTCCCGTGTTGCTTGGTTTTCTAGGGTGGTTCTTCTGCTGTGATGGCCGGAAGCGGAAGTTGCAGGCTCCTCCCCGCCTCCCCTGGCGGCTGCTCCTCAGTGAGAAGCCGGGGTCTCCTCCGACTCCAGGGCCCTCTGGCACCGGTGACCTCCTTGCTGGCCGCTCGGCAGGTGCCCGGGGCTCCCGGCTGGGCCTGGCCTGGCGCTCGGGGTCCCCTGGTGGCCGCTGCCCTCCTGATGGGCACAGTAGCCCTGCGCCCGCTCCCTGCCGTCTGCAGCGGCCTCTCCTGGGGCTCCCTCGGGGCCCAGGTCAGCAGGACAGCCGAGGGGTCTGGGCTCGGGTGCACGCGGGCCTGGCCGGCCCGTCCTGGGGCTCGGCTGTCCCTCCAGGCACGTGGACCGGGAGGCCCCGCGGTGTCCCGGAGGCGCCGGCGCCCGGCTCGCGCTGGCCAGGAGGG